ATGAAGGACCTTGGGACGACTTTTGGGAAGATCGCAATACCTTCATCTTCGGCCTTCTGCGCCTTGCCAAGGACGCACAGCGTGAGAGAAGCTTCGCCGTGCGCGATGATCCGATGGACCAAGTTCAAGGATTTTCTGTTCTCTCGTGCTCTTTGTATCCGCGCGCGAGCGAAATCGAGGATGGTGAAGTAGTCTTTGCTGGTGACATCGAGAAAGTGGTCGAGGAGTGCACGATCAGCACGACAGGGAGCGAAGAGCTCGCCCGGCCCGCTGTCTCGATGACACTGCGAATTATCGTGTTCGATCTTGTTGTGCTTTGCAAGGTCGTGTAAATCCATCTTCCAGGGAAGACTCCACCATTGCCCACATGCGAGCATCCCTACTAGTGCGAGGATGAAACCGAAAAAGTATGAGATGTTGTAGACCTCCTTCATCACATGTATAGTCTGCGAAAAGGAGATATTACGGCCGTCACGAGGCCTGTAATAACGAAAACTCAATGAGCTAGTCGATTTGGAGGGAAAAGACACGTACAGATAGCCATGGTTTGCAAGCGCGTTCAGCGCAGGGCATGGGGAGCGAGAATCCGTACCAGACGGCGATGCATAAACATGGGGGTCGCTCATGACGGGAGCTATGACGGTAGTCGTGGTGGACATGACAGCGATAATAGATTAAGTGAGAGTAAGAGATTAAAGTGTAAGTGGGGAGCAAACTCTGGAGAAGGTCTGAGAGAGGAACTCCTCTTTATATGCGTGAAATCCGGGATTAGGCACCGCGCTCCTACTTAGCGAGAGCGCCGGCTGTGATGAACGATGTGCAAGTATTTCCCGTGACATTGCTGCCGTAGAAACAAACGTAAATGCACAGCGAATCAATGCAGCTTGGTATGATTGAGATCATCGAGGCGGCCATGCTACGAACATTGCATCAGGATCAGTAACAGACGTAAGTCGGCGCTGTTGCGAGCCACTAACTATATCGAGCCGCCTTCACACGATGGAAAGTCAGCACGATTGATGGTAGTGGTGCATGGCGAAAATGTGAGAGGAGATCGTACAAACCATCCCCTCAGCTTCTGCAGGGGTCCAACCATCGGACAACCGAGTACCGGATGTATACGGGAAGCCAAGGAGCCGTAAGTGAGAAGTCGACATCCACATGTTCGGACGGATTGAAATGGGTCCTAGATACGAGGTGGTTGAGATAGCAATACAAGTCAGGACCCAACGCCTCGCGGGGAAGTTCATTCTGAGGGCTGTACGCCGCTGTCAGTGATAGCGCCTTCACAGCCCCTCGCAATCTGCATGGCGAAACATCACGAAGTCGGCGCTGGACATCTCGACATCAGAAAGACGACGAGGAACGCTGTTCATGAGTACCGCTCTGTCGCGGCGATTTGATAGGAGAAAGTAGCAAAGGGGGAGATGGGACGATGCAGACATTGCCTAGGTCTGCCTATGGTGCCCTGTTCGTAAGATCGCCACTTCGATGCCATGTGAACGATAACGCCATTACAACAGTCTTGCCGAGATTGAAGCCGTGCACCCAAGTACGCCACCTGCGGATGAGCTAGCCACCGACTCCAGCCGTATACGCCAATGTGAGTACCCGAGATGACTGTTAGGTGGAGATCAATAACGACAGACTCCCCTTGTATTATTACGGCGCAGTCGCCGCTTTACCTCAACCCGACTCGGGAACTGTGCCTGTGTAGCGTCATGATCCATCACACACCATTGTGCATGGCGCCCTCAAGTAAGTTTGGAGTCGTGCGGTACGCTCTACATTCCCAATGATCGTCAGTGTAACCCGCGCTCAGACTATATGAACCCCCACCTCGTGCTTGGGCGTGAATCAGTCCTGACATTCACCGCTTAAGAGGGTGAAACAGATATTCAGCGGCGCGATGGAAAGGACCGTGGTAGTTTTGACCTTGAAAATGCTTGGGACTGCTACAGTAGCACCGCATTCTTCAAGTGGCTCAAGATTCGGCACCTGGGAAAAGACGCTATCGACCTTTCATCACAGCAAACACTTGCATCTGCACCGCGGCGGGTTTAGCGTTCATATAGAAATGGTTTTGAGTTAAGACTTTGTTAGGAGACGACGGTGACCTGAAGCAGAGTTGCATTCAAGAATTAGTTACATATCAGCAGCGCATGAAGTACGGAAAAGCTTGTTATGAAAGAACGTGACCAGCATATTGGTCTGCCTGTGGATAGCATGGATCCGGGTGTTCATGATTCTGGTACATGAACAGAAAGTTTAGGAGCACTAAGGTTGGACAGGTATTCCTGAGAGATGATGAGAGATCAAATTCGAAAGTTGTCGAAAATGAAAACCAACGTACACGCAGCCACTGCTCCCTCTGTTCCGGTATATGATCGAAAGTGAGATATCGTTTGTCGTTCTACAGATGATGAGTTCCATGTACGTATGCCTTCAAACAAGATGCGACGTACCCTCAACACCTTGACGATTTCCTTCAAATCGACCGTCTTGGCAAGGGCTTTCATGTCAACAATACCCTCCTCGCTATCCTCGCCGATGTCATCGCCTTTGATGCTCTCATCGACACCTTTACCTCCAATCTTACCAAGCCGGCCCCAAAATTCGACGAAGGCATTTTCACTCAACATTTCATCGAATGCACGGCGAGCTTCCTGATTTCGCTCTCTCATCCACCGCTCATATTCCAGCTCGACTTGACGTATGTCAAAGCCCAGCTTAGTGACGGGCAAGGAAGCCACAAGGGTCGACACAGGCAACTCTGTGAATTTCGTAGATAATGATGGCGAGTATGATGCGAATAAAGCATGGAGGTTTGTGAGATGCTTTGCACGGAGTTGTGCGACATGGGTCTGGAAGAGGTGGCGTTGCTGTGAAAATGGCAACGGTGAACGAGTGAAACGAGGATCTGTCTTCAGCTGTGGTAGAACACCTTCCCAAGTAGCCTAGTATTCGACCGAGTCAGCGTGCTGCTCGGAACACCGGAGTTCGCGTACCTGTGAGTCCCGCACTGCATCCGTTAACATCGTCCTGTAACATTGGTAAGAAGTTGAGAGCTATGATCAGCGGCGCCAGTAACTAGCCACAAAGCAAGAGCCTATATGGGCGCACCTGAAATCGAGCTCTCCCTCCTCCTTGCTCACAACCTGTCGCGACCGGTCGATCTCCGCGTCGACTTTGCTGCGTTCGGCACGCATTTTGTCCTCGCGCTCTTTGATGGCGCGTTCGGCACGCTCTTTGCGTTTGCGTTCTCGTCCGGCTTCATCCTCTACGTCGTTTTGGGCTACAGTGTCGGGCGCAGCTGGCGGCGGTGTTGAAGACGACGTGATAACAGACCCTTGAGCCTTCAGGTACGTGCCGAATAACTCTTCTCGTAAATGGGACGATCCGACAGCATCATACCGGGGATCATCCTGAATCTTCCGCTTAACCTATACCAACGACCAGCACTGAGAATACAAACACTCGCATGTATAGCGTAGTTCGACATTACCTCTTTCCATACGGCTCCAGGTTTGCCGATCCCGCTTTCTTTGATTAATGCGAAGAAATCAGCTTCCGCTTTTTGAGCAGCTGCACGCTTCTCTGGAAGAAGTAAATCATGAGTATCGAACCGTGGTGATATGCAGACTAATCGTATACGTACTTTCACCAAGTTCCTTCAAATACTCCCTGAATCGTTTCTCCCTCTCCCTATCATCCTTTCCCCATCCGTAAAATCGTCTGTCTTTCCGCCACTGTCTTCTCCATTCCGTCCAACTCGTCCGCGTGCTCTTCACTTCCTCTCTTAGCAACTTCTCAAATTCACCCTTTGGGTCAACTGGCTCCTTCTCACTTTTGACCTTCGACTGGCGTAGTTCACGAGCACGCTCGCGGCAATATTCGTCGAACGCATCTTTTCGCGCGGATACGGAGGGCAGGAGAACGTAGCGGGGATCGGAGATGAAGAGGGGGAGCGAAGTATCCCATGGATGAAGGGGGTTGACGTCTTTCTCTCGCAAAAGAGTCTGTTGTGACATTTGTAAGCGCATACAAGGACCTGAATATATGGGAGGCCACACACCTTGAAGAGAGCTTTAGCTTCATCTATCGAGAGATCGACGCGGTCGGGAATGTTCAACTGTTTGCGCTTCGCGGCGTCCGCCTCAGCTTGCGCCCTCGCCTCTTCCTCGGCCCTTTTCCGTTCTTCCTCTTGTAGCCGCTTCAGTTCCTCCGCCTCCGCGGCAAGTTGGGCAGCAGCCTCACGCTGCCAATCTTCCTCATCGCTCTCATCCTCGTCGTCCTCTTCATCCTCTTCGTCTACTCGAGCTTTCTTCGACACAACCTCCACCTCATCCATAGGAACAACCTCGTCCGCTTTCCGTTTTCCCACCATGTCTTGTACTTCAGACTTAATCCGCTCAACTTCTTTCATGCTCACGTCCTCTTGCGACTGTGCCGCGTGTTGTGCCCGTTGTTTCTCCTCTTGCTCCAGAGATTCAACGGCGTCTTTAATCTCGTCGGGGATGGTCCAAACGCTTCGTTTCTCCACTTTGTGAGTATAAAAGACATTGCCTTCGGTCGTCTCAACGCGTAGCCACTCGGTTCCTGGGATGGGGGTCTTGACCTTCGGCTTCTCCTTTTTTTTGGCGGGTTGTACAGGCGGTATTGTAAATGCTGATGCAAGAGGCAAAGCTGGCAAAGGTCTGACGTATGTCGACTGTTGTGTCAGTGCATTGTAGTAGTACGGTTGGCCGGTAGGACCTGAACCGCGATGATTGTTAGCCTAAAGCTACGTGAGATGTGAACAACATACTCATATGCTCCGCCCAGCCTGGCGGTAGAGGTGGTGGGCCCATTGGCACAAATGGCGGCGCTGACATTGTTGGCAGTTGTAGAGTCTTACCGGAGCCGGGTCGTATTGACGGCTCAACTTGTCAAGTACTGACACGCAGGAACGTGTGCACGATGCAGCACGCTATAGTAAATAAAAAAGCGTGGGAAAAAGTGGCCGACTAGCTCAGTTGGTTAGAGCGTCGTACTAATAGCTTGCGTAAGCTTATGCGAAGGTCGTCAGTTCAATCCTGGCGTTGGCCATTCATTACCTTTTTCTTTCATTTCCACCTTCCTAGCTCAACATATTTTTGAGAAGCCACAACTCCGACGACCGTGACGGCTGACCTTGTCTGGTTGGTCTGGTTAACTCCCGACGTCGTCCACTTTCATGCGCAACGATCGCAGCACGGCAGCCTGGTACTCGACTTCGTCATAAGTCCATTGAGATCCGGCAAGCAGATGCTGATGAGGAAGAAGACCAGCCACTACCATACCGTGGTACTTCTCCCACCCCCATGAAGACCGCAGCGGGTCAAGATAAGATAGGTACATATAATGCCTAAGTAGATCATACTTGAAAGAGTACTCATGACAGGCACAACGATCAGGTTTGGGCCTTGCGAACGACTCGCGTGAGAGACCATGCACCCGCAGCTTGAGAAAATACACGTCTGCGAGCAGCACGCAGCCACAAGGTTCGCTTCTGAACAGGTGGATGAAAGTCATAAGACGGATACAGCACCGGACAGGCGCTAATGTCGCGCGTCATTTACAAGGGTGACGCGTCAACAGGAACAAACAGCTTGATCTTCCGTACAGCGAGCACTAATTTCTCAGTCCGTCGACAAGGATCAACAAGACCCTCTACAGCGAATCGCCATTTGTTGAAGTTCTCGATTTTGCTAAATTATAGGAAGACATCTTATCGAAGGTACAGTCATTGTTCATTCAGGTGCCCACGCCCACTCATTTGATGTGCGGTCGCTGATCGAACATACGGCCGAGTATAGACTCGCCACGTTGCCACTCAACGTTTAGTGTTAGTGTTTATGATAAAAGCGAGCTCGCTTCCTCCTTTCACACGAGAGCCACTTCAACCACGACCACCACCAACACTACCAGCCCTACCAACTGCACAATATGTCAGGTCGCGGCGGTCGAGGACAACCCCGAGGGAGAGGGGCGAGGGGGGCAAGCAGAGCTCCCTCTCAGAGCTCTGTGGGGGGTGGAGCAGGTCGTGGTGGTAGGGGCCGCGGCACTCCCGTCGCTATCACCCCCACGCCCAGCTCCAGCATCGGACCGTCTCAACACGTCGATACTATCGGTGTGCGCCGCAAAAACTTTGGGTCCAGTGGGACGGCAATCAAGGTCTTGACCAACCACTTCGAAGTTAAGATTCCTTCCGAGATTATACATCACTATGACGGTAAGTGACTTGTCGCCAATGATATTGAGTCTAACACTTTCACCTGCGTTCGCTCACAACCTAACGTTCACGGTGATTAGTCGGTAAGTCTAACGCTGGTTTTCGTACAAGATAAGACCAACAAACATAAGTCGTGACAGCTATGACGCCTGACGAGCAGAAATTACCGACGAGAGCAACGATGCAAGTTATCCGTCGCCTACAAGAGGTAATAGCGCCGCAAGTATTCACACCGCGAGCTGTCTACGACGGGCGAAAAAACATGTTTGCCGTCAGGGAGCTGCCTTTCACGGGCGGTACGCAAACGGTAAAGTTTGGCAGTGAATCCTGTGTAGTACCATCTGTTCACAAGGCACATTCATTAGTTCGACGTCACTCTTGACGATCCGGTGGCAAGCACTACCGGGGGTCAGCCGGCAGCGGCACGTGGAGATCAGTCGGCGGGCAGAGGGCCCAGGGTGTATAAGGTAAAACTCACGAAGGTGGCTGAGATCAATCCGGAGTAAGTGGCGGACTTGAATGTTGAACATCTTCTAAGAATTTATGGTCTGTGTATTTCAGGCTACTTTCACGGTTTCTGGACGGTCAACAATCGCACGATAATCCTGTCCTCACCGCGATTACAGTACGTTACCAACTTTGTTATTTGCTTTGTCTCTGAATGCACCTTTTCGCAGGCGCTCAACGTTGTAGTGAAGATGCAGCCAAACTTGCAATGGCCTTTCGACAAACGATCTTTCTATACAGACCGAGAGGCCCGGGACATAGGTAATGGTATCGTTTTGTGGCGTGGTTTGTTCCAGTCTGTTCGGCCTGCTTCTGGCAGAATGTTGATAAACATCGACATCTCGACTGGCTATATGTACAAGGACGGACCTCTGATAGGCCTCTGTACCGAATTCCTGACCACCCGACAAAGACGCATACAGCCCCAGCAACTAGCGCCAAGACAAGGGTTCCCCGAGCGCGAACGCTACAGACTAGAGAAATTCGTCGCCGGAGTGCGGGTCATAACAACAGGTGCTAACGGGCAACCCAGTCGATCGCCTCGTACAATCAAGAAGCTCTCAACAGCAGGAGCTAGTGATCTCGTATTCGCCATCAACGGCCAGCAGATCAGCGTCGCTGAACATTTTAGGCGCGCTCGAAACCGGCCGCTTCAATATCCCAACGCAATTTGCGTGGAGGTAAGAGGGTTTGGTAGTCCGAATGTGTACATGTCATGACCCATGTTTCTCAGCTTGGAAATGGGGCGCTGATTCCGCTAGAGATGTGTACTGTGCCACCTGGCCAAATTATGCGAAAGCAAATCCCCGATGACAAGGTCAAGGACGTTGTCCAATTTGCGACAAAGAGACCCGAAGATCGTTTGGCGAGTATTCGGATGGGATTAGGGGTGCGCATATTTCCCCGCATTTCGTTGAAGCGTACGTATTGTTGACGCAATAATGATCTGCGTAGGTTCTAGCGTATGGGCAGTCGGAATATGTCCGAGTAGGTCAATCTTATCACGTAGATATAACCAAAATTAACGATTGGTACAAGCAATTCGGATTGGACGTGAATACGCAAGCTCCCCTGACGGCGAGTGCACGCATCTTGCCACCGCCTACATTGCGATATGGCGACCGAACTCTGGTGCGCATTATATTGTCTTGCTCATCATAATGTTTGAAGCGTCCATCGCAGACTCCTCGTGAAGGGACTTGGAACATGGTGGACCGCAAGTTCTATAAGCCATCAACCATCGAGCGATGGTGTGTCGTCGTTTTCGAGAGGGAGAACAGCTTCGGAAGGCAATACGTGCAGAACGTCATCCAGGGCTTTGTTAGAGCGTGTCAAAGTGTCGGTGAGTTGGCGTAGATGTAAGATCGCAGTAGTATGTTTGCTCATGTATCGTCCTCTAGGCATGAATGTTCAAGAACAAGATCCTACCACAATGTGGTTAAATCCTCAGACGGATATCAGCGCGGTAAGCCGACGGTGCATGTATCCACTGAGCAATGACGCTTATTACGTTCACACAGGAATTGAAGAAAGCTGGACAGCAGGTTATGAAGAAGAATCAAAACAAGCCCCCCACGCTCATGATTGTCATCCTACCCGAGAACGCAGCAGAATTGTACAGAGCGGTGAAACAGTCAGTGCATCTTTGTAGCCTATAAATGAAGACGCTGATACCGAGGATCGCGCTATAGCTTTGGAGACATTACGGCGAGTCACTCTGGTGCCCACACGTACCATCCTTAGCTCATCAATGGCATACAGCTCGGCATCGCAACTCAATGCATGAAGGCTATGAAGTGCTCTCGCGGAAACGCTCAATACTTTGCCAACATTTGTCTCAAGTGAGTGTATATTGACGTGATAGCGACCGGAATATGCCTGAACCCTCGTTCAGAGTGAACGTGAAAATGGGCGGGATCAATGCCATTCTAGATCAACGCTCCGCAATGATACTTTCGGACCCTCGCAATCCTACCGTTGTCATGGGCGTACGTTTTATTTCGCCGTGATTAACCCACAGAAGTGACACTCACGGATCGCACACCTAGGCCGACGTGATCCACCCGGCCCCGGGGTCTCAGGACCGTCCGTCCTTTGCGTCGTTGGTGGCCAATGTCGACTCCGATACTGCGAAGTATATCGCAGATTGCCGTGTCCAGACGGCCCGACAGGAGATGATCGGCAGTCCTGATGACGAGGATCCGGCACTGCAATCGATGGCCAAGGTATGTTTACGAGCGATGACGTGAGATTTCGTTAATGACAGTTGTCCATAGAAAATGTTGGAGATGTACATGAGTTACCGCTCGATGGTCGAGAAGCAAGCGAATAAAGCACCGAAGCGTCTCATCTTCTATCGTGGTACGCTACTGTCCGTCCGAAGTGATCCCTTCATCGCAATTCTAACCTCTTGTACAGACGGTGTATCGGAAGGGCAGTTCGCTCAGGTCCTCACACAGGAATTACCCCAACTGCAAGGTAGAACTTCCGTTACTGTCTTGTCTCGCGCTGTCTTCTCACTGCCCTGGTACCCAGCTGCTTGCAGAGAGCTCAACATTCGCCCGAATATCACGATCATTGTGGTCGGAAAGCGCCACCATGTACGCTTCTTCCCCCGTCAGGGTAACGAAGCGGACAAGAGTGGCAATTGCAAAGCGGGCACCGTGGTTGATCAGGAGATCACGCACCCACTAGAGCTCGATTTCTATCTGCAGTCCCATGCGGGGCTGCTCGGAACTTCTCGTCCCGCGCACTACAACGTCCTTCATGACGACAATGACTTCAGCGCCGATGCCCTCCAGGCCTTATCTTTCGCACTTTGCCATGTCTATGCCCGTAGCACTCGATCTGTCTCTATTCCCGCCCCGGTTTATTGTGAGTCCCTTCGCGCTGAAGCATTTGCTGCGGACATTTGCTAACACGAGAGTTAGATGCGGACATCGTATGCAGTCGCGCCAAGAATCATTACGCCCCTGATTCCAACCTAAACCCCGACGATACAGATACTCAGACCGGTGCCGGGTCCAGTCAGCTTGAACGCTTCAGGACCCAGTTCAAGGACCTCCACCCCAACATGAAGAAGGTCATGTACTTCTCCTAGGTTGGTCGTCTGCATGTGTCGGAAGTTGTTTGCTTTGTATAAGAATCTTCATCACGACCTTGATGTTTGTTTCCAAAAACCTGGATCTGTTCACGAAAACCCGAATTTCCCAACAGAAAACCATAGTATACAATGTAGTACGAAATAGCTTTGCCCACAGAATTCGATAAGCTTTATGCATATGTCTCGTAGTGTCTCGTCTTCACCTCAAGTTTCGGTATAGAAGAC